GTAGCTTTAGCATAAAATTTATAATATATATCTTTATGTGTTTCTTCGATTCTATTTTCTATAACATTTCTTTGTAATATTTATAGTTTATATAATAATTTATATTATAATTTATATCAGTGTTTTTCAATATTGTGTATTTGAGTGCGCAAGTAGAGCGATGAATTAAAAGTAGCTTTAGCATAAAATTTATAATATATATCTTTATGTGTTTCTTCGATTCTATTTTCTATAACATTTCTTTGTAATATTTATAGTTTATATAATAATTTATATTATAATTTATATCAGTGTTTTTCAATATTGTGTATTTGAGAGCGCAAGTAGAGCGATGAATTAAAAGTAGCTTTAGCATAAAATTTATAATATATATCTTTATGTGTTTCTTCGATTTTATTTTTTATAACATTTCTCTGTAATATTTATAGTTTATATAATAATTTGTATTATAATTTATATCAGTGTTTTTCAATATTGTGTATTTGAGTGCGCAAGTAGAGCGATGAATTAAAAGTAGCTTTAGCATAAAATTTATAATATATATCTTTATGTGATTCTTCGAGAGCTCCACTCCTATAGCACGATCTCGTATTCTTATACCGGTTTCGGTCGTATATCTTGTCGGTCTTCCAATTTTCATGCAAACGTAAATAAGATACGATGCACGCATGCATAAAAGAGTGATGGTCACGTTATTTCTTTTACGCAATTCAAACAACTGCGTCTGTCGGTTATTGACGATAAACGTCACAAATCCCGACGATTACGATCATTGGAAAAACGTATGGAAATTACGCGTCCTGAAATTGCAAACAAACAAGAGAGTTTTCGCCGGATACTTTTCAATAATTGAAATAAAAATTATAAAAATGATGGAAAGAAAATTATATTCGACATCGGGGAAAGTGTGTGTGACGCTAGATATTTTATTTTCATCCGTTATTGTGCAGTTCAAAGTTATCGATCGCCTTTTTGCCAAACCGCGTACGTTCATGAACTCTTCTCGTCAGAGAAAGAGAGCAAGAGTGAGAGAGAGAGAGAGAGAGACACAGGGGACTTCTTGTACCATCAACTTGGTTGCGGAAAATACAAGAGTTCCGACGATTGTGCCGAGCGAGAAAATCCAATAGCTCGGAAAAATCGGAAAGCCGCGTGGTTTTGTGGCGGAGAAAAGGCGCCGAATGATGTTTTTCACCCCGGGTGATGGAGCACTATGTCGCATCTCGCACCAACCCACGGGAAAATAGTATCACACACATACATTGTGATGGTAGAGAAAGAGCATTGTTATCGGAATAGAATTGGTCACACGCGAATCGAAGTCTTTAATTTTAATCGTCGGAATCATCATCGATTTTATATATCCGTTTATTAGATTTTTCTATTACCATTCTATTCGAATATATAAAAGAATTCTTTCATCAAAATTATTGTAAAACGTATATCTTGTGTTCAACGAAGAAAATTTTGAAATTAAACATCTGTGCAAAGATTTTTATAAAATAAAAGTCTATCTCTCCAAAATAAAATTAAACAAGAGATATAAAACATTGTTATTAAGAGAACTCCTCGTGTTCTATCGATATTAAATAATTATTATTACACAATTACGCGAATATACATATAATTTCGGGGTTTCGAACATTGAAAAATATATACCTGCTCCGGCATATATTTTCTTTATTCTCGTAAAATTCGCAGTCTCAGCCGCATTTTTCTCTAATAGCACGAGATCGTATCTTATCTCTTCCCTATTAGTGTCGCCACAATATCCCGGTCCGTCGTTCATTTTCAAAGAGAAATCAGGGCACGCTATATCGCACGCTAGAGTGGAGCTGGACGATAACACACGGATAGCTAGTAACAACAAGAGAGACCCGGCAGGAAGGGACGAGGGTTTGGAATTACGACTGTATATTAAGCACACAAGCGTACGGGGGTATGAATAGACCGACGGCATAGTCTATCTTAGCATTGTCGAAGCACACAAGAGATAAGAAGAGAACGCGACAGCAATATTACGGATCTCTTTCCTCGCCGCGAGATGAATATTCATCGTCTTTGTATGCATGTTAATATAAAGGAAAAAGAAAAGAGGCAGTTGCAATAAAGAACGAATTAAACGCTTGCACAGCGAGTATAAAATGTGAGAAAGTGTACTATAATGAAAGTATACGAAAGTACACAAACTAGTGAATTTATAAAGTAATAGTAACAAATATAACGAATGAAAATTTCTCTCGTTAAAATTTATTCAGTTTTATTCCAATCGTTAATTAAATTGTTAATTATTTAATATTTTAATAATTGAAATCAAACATTTACCGGTGGAATCATATTTTATGTTTTTGTGCTTTTATGCTTTTGTAGTTTATTGACGATTTACTTTATTGATTATTACGCTGCATTTAAGGATATAATATATTTGAATATAAAATGGAATATAAAATAAAATATTTAATATTGAATATTAAATTAATTATAAATGTTTAAAAAATGATTTAAAATACACATATCAATGTATATAATAAAGTATAAAACTTGGAACGAAAATTTATGATTATTAGCCATTTTTGAAAAATAAATCTCTGAATTTTTAGAAATTTAATTCTTTATAAATTTCTTTAAAGAATTTATTACATTTCGACTATAATACAGCGCAAGGTCATTAAACTCGAAATTATAATTCAGACCCGAATATTCAACATCTATATATACGAGAGCCAATAAACTGTAAACTATTAGCCATTTTCAATCGGCTGCGCAATAAAGCGCGCATGTCAGCTTAATCCTCTTACGTTCCACTTTCCGAACCGCAAGCGCAGCCAGTTTCCTCCTCGATCTCGCTCTATTGTGTGAAATTCAGAGATTGCGAGAGATTCGCCGCGATTCCAGAATCTCTGAACTCGCGCGGAAACGCTTCCCTCTAGTTTGTTTATCCCTCCGTGATAAATTCACCAATTAATTGATCATTCGAGAGATTAATCGTACAATTTGTATCAAGTGACGAAGCCGGAACGGATTGATAATGAAGGTCGAAAATTACTTTTCAACAAGGGAGTTAGTATAATAAAGATTGCGCCGCGGAACGATTGGGGGAACGAGTTAGCGTCGCGAGCCGATAAATCTGGCAACTCGTTAAACACCAGCCACTCGTGGTAGCTCCGAGCACATAAACTCGGATTAGTTTCGGTCGGCGTGGTGTAAGAGTAATCCCACCTGGTTTGATCCGATGGATTTCTGATGGTGATAGCGATTTCCCTGGCAACGTCATATCGGATTTGCCGCGCGTCTCGCTAATGAGCTATTAGCGCGCCGCCGACTTGTATAAATCAATGTCTCGAATATATTAAGTAACTCGCATTTGGAGCGAAACACAATTTTGTACCGTAAAATTATTTGACGTACGTCATCTCGCCAAGTTTTATTTTACCGTTTCTCTTTTTTCATTAATGTCATTATTTAGAATTGACATTTTCATTATTTAGTATCGAAAGATAAAATTCTTGGAAAATTAATTAGAAATAATATACTGATTTTTCTAAAATTATAGGTAATATTATTTTCGCACAAACGCCAGGACGATGAAAGAAGTATATAATTATTTGACGTACGTCATCTCGCCAAGTTTTATTTTACCGTTTCTCGCTTTTCATTAATGTCATTATTTAGAATTGACATTCTCATTATTTAGTTTCGAAATATTAAAATTCTTGGAAAATTAATTAGAAATAATATACTGATTTTTCTAAAATTAGGTAATATTATTTTTGCACAAACGCCAGGACGATGAAAGAAGTATATATAACACGAAATTGTGTCACGAAATTAGTGACATCTCGGTAAAAGTTGACAGTATAATTAACGCTAGAGAGAAAATTGTTTTCTCGGCAGTCGCGCATACGGCATTTTTAATTCACCATATCTTTAGGAACTTCCTTTTTATTTCGCCGAGCCCGACTCGTAACTCTCGCAAGAGGTATACAATACTATGGTATTATTACATTTTTCCACGAGCTTTCTTGCGATAAATTTTGCGACTCGCAGTGTTAATGGCTCCGCGCGATATTAGTTGAAAACTTTAGGACGAAACCGAGCGAAAGAGTTTGTGAAAAATATACGCATCTTTAGGATATATTTTATAAAATAATCATTTTTATCATCTTATAAAAGGGGAAGAAAACGCTTTAAATTGCGTAAATTTAATTTTTATTTACTTGATTTGAATCTATCTTTATTTGCGCACAATTTTGCAGAAGACAATAAAATAATACAAATATTAATTTTCTCACATATTTTAAAATTATAATATACCTAATATATGTACATCACAAATATTCTCTTTCAATCTAAATTGAAAATAATTTAGCGTATAAAATAAAAATTGATATACATCAAAATCAATCAATTTAAAATAATTGAATCAATATCCAAAAATATATATTTTAATAAGAATTTATATTTGCTGGTACAAATTGGTTATTTCTATTGACAAGTAATTTTTATTACAACAAATTATATTATTGATAGCACAATTTATACATATATATATATATATATATAATTTTATTTTGTCACTGATATAATCATTTTTTTACTACTGATTTTTAATTTATATTATATGTATGTACAAGACTATATATATATATATATATATATATATATACAGTCTTGTACATACATATAATATAAATTAAAAATTATACATATATATATATATATATATATATGTATAAATTGTGCTATCAATAATATAATTTGTTATAATAAAAATTACTTGTCAATAGAAATAACCAATTTGTACCAGCAAAATATAAATTCTTATTAAAATATATATTTTTGGATATTGATTATCCAAATCATATGTAGTACATACATATAATATAAATGAAAAATCGGTAGTAAAAAAATGATTATATCAGTGACAAAATAAAATGAATAAAATCCCGCCTCGTGAGTGAGAAATTTTCTGACCTTCTCGATTACCTACTCTGTTACAGAAGTCATCATCCCGGTCCAAGGGGTCGTCCCGAGGGTCCGCGAGGGTGATGCTCTTGGCGAGCGCGAGTGAGGAGTCCCGGGCGGCCTTTTCTCCCTTCGTGCCCATCAAGGGAGAAGGAGAGGGTCTGGGCAGCAGCAGTTGCAACCGAGGAAGCGGCGGCCAGCGCGGAGGAGCGCCTCCTGGTGCACGGCGGTGCTCCTCTAACGGCGGCTAGGAGGGAGTTATGGTGTCTCGTGCATGCAATGACTGTGGCCGCCGCAGCCGTGACACTGTGGCATCGTGCCCACCTCTACAAGGCGCTCGCCTGCATCGTCCTCGCCCTGATCGCCGTCCAGTATCTGCTTAGCGGCGGCGTGATCGATCGTCGCTCCATCGAAACCATTTTCACAATCAACGCGACCAGGTGAGTCTCCTTTACTGTCATTTTTGCCCTTTCGTTTCGACCGATTTAACTCAAATTATACAGGGTGTTTCAGAACTGACGGGCAAATTTTTAATGCCAGAGTCTCCTGGTAGAAAATAGCCTTTTGTGGAAATAAAATGTTAACAAAATCACATTTTTCGGTTAATTTCAGGTAGAGTTTACTTTAACAGAATTTTAATTTAAGACTCAGTTACGAAGATACATGATGGCAAAAATTGGGAACATACAAAAAATGATGACCTCCCTTTTTGCTGAGGAAAAATCGTCTCCAAATGATACCAGGAATTTGCCTTGAAATTTTGCCACCAGTTCTGAAACATATATAATCGATATAGAATTGATTAATTGAATGATGGAGATAATAAGTGATTTGCTCGAGTAAACAAATCGAGAGCCTTCGTTTTGTGTTTCTCGCAATAAACCCGACTTCCATACATCTTCGGCGAAGCATTAAGCATCTATTTCAGCTTCGTGCCAACCTCAGCGCGTCCATGCACGTATCTTGCACGGAAACTGCGCGTCTCGAGATATACTCGCATATACAACTCGCGGAATCCGTTGTTTAAATTCCGCCCCGATGTATCTGTCACTCGCGTGTATTATCGCGAGGACGGAAGATGCACGCGTTTCTCCCCCGTAATTCCTCGCTAATTGCGAGTGTCGGATTCCCGGTTTAATAATTGGCCGTTATATCCATCGTTATTCATCGTCGCTCGCAAGTCCGTATTGTGTGTGTTGCGTGTCGTGAATTTACGAGATGCAAACGACAGGCTCTTGCGCACTGCTGTTGACGTCCTCGAACTTTCCACGGGCGAAACTTTCGCCGGATATTTAGCAGAAAATGTCTTATTCGCGATAATTGAGCTCGATTTATAGTCAACGTTATTGTTACGCCGGTAACGAATATTTGTTTGTAACGAAATAACTGTCATAGAAAGTTGCTCAAGTTTAATGCATCGGCGTATCTTTTATTTATATACGTATATATGTCGACAGCATTTAGAATTTACAGTCCAATTAAGAGTTGTTCTCTTATTAGCAAATAATATATATCAACGATGTATATCAGTAATTCAAATATAATATCAAAATAAAATATATTTGATTTATTAAAAATAATTTATAAGATGGAAACACATTTATATATAATTAATGTTATACATATTCATTGGTACCACAATAAAATTTATTATAACCACATCTTGTTATTTACCGAAATAATCGTCACAAATATCGACCAATGTTTTCTTTATATATACATTATTAACGTTAATTAAATCTAACTACAAATAAATAAATATATATATAGGTAAAATAAAATATCAAATAATCGTATTCATCAGAATATATAGTAAGAATTTCAAGTTGAATTCTGTTTGCGCGTACGCTCGATTGCTGACGTTGAACGCTCACGCACGAAGCTACGGATCCTGACAATCGGGTTGTAAATCCGATCGTCGATATCCGTCTCGTGTATAGATTGCACAGGAAGATTCAAAGTGGACTGTATCTTAAGGAGGGTGGACGCGCTCCGATTGGTGCGCAGGATGGGTAACGATTTAAGCCACGTGCCGAATCGAGAACCAGAATACGGAATTATATGCACAAATTACACAAAAACAATCCATTTATTAACTAAATTTGTCCGAGAGTCACAATGTACATAAACGCAAATTAATTTGAAACCTTTACATAAAATCTTTATCTATTAACGAATAAAATAGTCACCGCGAAAACACGTACGACGTGGTTGTTAAGCAGTCCGAAATGTCTCACTATATGGTATCTAGCATGTGTTGCATGGACACCACCGAAAAACTATTTGTTGCATAACAATTGCTAGTTACGATGAACACGCTCGAAACTCGTGTATCGAATCGTTCGAAATCTCACATTAAGATTTCGTACACGTTGCCGATTGCGGCGAATGCGATATTAAATCGCGAACCGAAATGTTTCAATTAACATGAAGAATCACTGATCACATAAATGTTACAGTGCGTTGAGCACCACGGGCTCGAAGGGATGAAAAAAAGGAACGCAAACACAATCACGACATCAGGTATCAGTCCCAGATGACTGATCACGTGATCTGCGCGCTCCAACTCACGTGATCTACGCGTGCCAAGCGAACACGCGCGAGCCTCATGTATACAATTATTACGTTCGTGGAAACAATCGGACTTCGGCACCTTGATATTTCACCATTGCGTGAATTCTGGTCCCAAATCACTGAATTCCGCTTCGTTAACAATGTTTTGAGCGCAAATTTTATGTCGCGTATATAACGGCGCACCTTGTTGCTACCGTTAATTAGCGAATGTCAAAGTGAACGTATTTCACATCTCACTTATCACTGAATCACAGCAGAATATCAATCTGATTATTTTTTTTATTAATCAAACGAACTACGAACAATTAGAATCGCGACGGAAAACCCACATGTGACTAATCGCAAAGCCGTGCCAGGAGCGAATGCCCAGGTTCGATGACGAGGCAGTTCATCCCCGATCGATTCGATAATCGAACGCTTGAAGCGCGGCGTGTAGGTTCAGTGCGTGCTGCCCCGTGCCGGATTAACTCAAAAATTATAGAATTTCAAATTATCGACCTACTTCTTCATTCTCTTTGAACAAATAATAAAGTTCTTGACCTGGGGTCAACTTACTTCTGAACATACCGCCCGCCTCGAAATAAAGATTTCGAAATGTCTTACAGTAACTAAAGAACTTACCCCAGGTTTGGGTTTTTTTTTTTTGTTACATAAAGAAAAAAAAAAAAAATAAAACGTTAATCGCTTAATGATTTTTCGAGTGAGATTCAGTGATTACATATTGAACAATAACAGGCATTTGGTTGCTTACATGATTGAATAACAATATTAAGACATAGATTCTTACTAAACTTACATTAACGCGACGCGAGTGGTCTTGAGTAGTCAAGGATATTGAGCGCCGCCCGCCTTAACTAACTACGAAGGACTTGACTTGTCCTAATTATGCGAACGATTGAGACGTTGCATGCGCATTATGGAGTTGGGTTTTCCGCAGTACCTGTCTTACGTTCCGACAGTTGATCGATTAAGTTAATATCGATAGGTAGTAGGCACAATTTAGTTACTGGTCGCTTGTATTCGGACGTCGCTGTTTTAACTGAGACGACTCGAGTTAACCCGTCAGAGCCCGGATGACAATGAATAACTCGCCCTAATTCCCATTTACACGGTGGGAGAAGGGGGTTTTGAATCAAAACCATTGAGCCAACCTGAATCGGAGGCGTTTCTCGACGCCACTTTGATCTTTGTTGAAGAGTATTGACATAATCTGACTGCCACTGCTTCCAAAAACGCTCCGTAATCTGTCTGAGTAATTGCCATCGCGACAATCTGTTTTCGTTCAATTGTAGAACGGAAGGTTCCGGATTCGTAGTAATGGCAGTCCCAATCAAAAGGTGACCTGGGGTCAGGAACTCGTAGTCATCTGGAGTATCATTGAGTGGAGAAAGCGGCCTTGAGTTGAGGATAGCCTCAATTTTGCACAACACTGTCGTGAACTCCTCAAATGTCAATGCGTGTGAGCTTACAATTCGACGAAGGTGGTGTTTGACACTCTTCACTCCTGCCTCCCATAGTCCTCCAAAATGAGGAGCATGAGGCGGGATGAAACTCCAAGTGATCCTATCTGTTGCGATTAAATTGAGAAAATCCGTATTGCGTTGAGCATCCCGATACGCGCGGGATAGCTCTTTATCGGCTCCTGTGAATGTTGTACCGTTATCCGAATACATAACTGCTGGCAAGCCTCGTCTGGCGCAAAATCGTTGAAATGCGTTCAAAAATGCTGGCGTTGAATAATCGCTGACCAACTCGAGATGAATGGCTCGAGTTGCCAAACATATGAAAACGGCTATGTAAGCCTTTCGTGAGGTGATTCCTCGACCAGCAGAGGCTCGAATGAGCACTGGACCGGCATAATCGATGCCGCTGTGCAAAAACGCCCTCGTTGGCGTTGAGACTCGAGTTGATGGGAGTTGACCCATTAACTGATTGGCTACCTGAGCTCTTTCTCGCGTGCATCGAACGCACCTGTAGATAACTGATTTAACTAAAGGCCTAGATTTTATAATCCAAAATTCTTGGCGAATTTTAGACAGGGTAGACTGAAGACCGGCGTGCAGCGAGGCTATGTGCGTGTAGCGAATGAGCATTGTAGTAATTGGATGATCAGCTAGTAGAACTGGATGTTTGGATTGAAATGGTAGATGAGAATGCTCCAATCTTCCGCCAACGCGGAGTAGACCATTTGCGTCTAGGAATGGATTTAATGATATCAGAGCGCTGTTTCTTGATAACCTCTTGTTTGACTTGAGTAAGTAAAGTTCTTGCTTGAACACCTCTGCTTGAATCATATGCAACCAAAAGTTACGAGACTGCATGTACTCAAATGCTGTAATGGCGTGGGACCGGACGTGATCTTTGTGATCTGCCGCGTGCTTCCGTTGACATTTGTTTATGAATCGGTATATATATGCAGTGACGCGTATCAATTTTGGCCACCATGAATACCGTGCAGCAAGACTCCAGTCTTCACGAGTACTGTTTTGATGAGCTTCACATGCCTTCAGTTCCAACTGAGTTTCGTGGTGCTCTGATAGAATTTGATGAGGCCACTCATCAGAATGAAGATGCAACCATGACGGCCCATGCCACCATAGGTTGATGGATATCAAATCTCGGCCGAGTAATCCGCGCGAAGCACAGTCTGCGGGGTTTTCACTGGTGTTTACGTGATGCCAACTACCGGTTGGTAATCGTGTCTGAATTTCGGCTACTCTATGAGCTACGAAAGTTTTCCAATTTGAGGGGTGCTTCTTGAGCCATGCGAGAACTACAGTGGAGTCTGTCCAACAATAAATCGCAATGTCGCTTAAATGAAGTGACTGCTTGATAAAGTCAATCAAGCGAACTAGCAGAACGGCAG